TGGCGGTCAGCTGATTCATCAGAATAAAGCCGCAGAATGGGAACCGCTGTGTTGAGATGACAGTAGGATGTGGTTCAGCGCCTGTAGCGTACATACATGATTGTAGTTTGAATAAAGCTTTGTTTCATGGTTGACTTGTATACCCTTATGGAAAAAAATAGTTGTAAGTTGCTAATTCAAAGACATAAGAGTGTTGGGACAATGATATACTGTGCTCTTATTTGTATAAAATAAAATCGCGTATGCGAAGCTGGTGGAGGTGATGGAGCGCTCCATCTAGACCACTCCAGACCACATCTCGTCTGAATGGCAGGGCATACGCAGTGGCAGGTCAGGCTGGTGCTGCGCTGCACACGATGGCTGTGTTGCAGACGTACCAGGCTGACCTGCTGACGGACCTGGACCAGGGGCAGGGTTTAACCCCAGACGCGGTGGCTGAGTTGCACCACACCACAGGCCTGGCTCTCCGGGCCACCAAACAGACAGCAGCCGCGATTGTTGGCGGCCATGGTGGCCACGGAGAGGCATCTGTGTGTGAACCTGGCAGGCATCGGGGAGAAAGAGAAAACTTTTCTCCTCGATGCCCCGGTTTCGCCCTGGTGGTCGGAAAGTTCAGGGAGGCGAAGGCGCGCTCAGCGCCATATAGATCTCGTATACCGCGCCGGTCCAGGCCCACACCCAGACAGCCTGGGGGTCCTGGCCCGTCTCGTTCCGAGGATCGTAGACAGGGCCAGCGGGACTCAGTTGCCACTCGCGCCCCTCCTTCTGGCAGGAGTAGGTCATTGAGGCGGTGCGAGTCCAGGAGGAAGAGGCAGGGTGTCAGGGAAGTAGCTCAGGCCAGACGTGAGCGTCCAGGCATGAGCAGAGACAGGTGATTGCCTCCTTCCCTGTGCACACCCTTCTTTTCCTCTTTCCCCCTTAGTCCATAACATCAGGCCTTACGAGCCGGACCGATGATGATAATCTATTGCCTCAGACCTTTGTTGTGTGACCAACGAAAGACCAACCGCTGAGAACATCCCCTGTAGCCCCACAGTGCCGTTAGCAGAGTAGTTGGCAGGTGCTTCCTCAAGTTATGAAATGGCAAATGTAAATTATATAATTAATTTTTCATTTTCATTTTCATTTTGCACCAACGTTGCACAAATGTCATGGCAAATGTAAATTTAAATACAGAAATGCATACCCATTTTACATATTGCGTTGTCATTTTGAATATTACATTTCAAATTGAATATTGCTACCCATATGCTTCCATACTGAATAAAAGGCCCATTCGATGTGATTTTCTTACACTGCATTGCATTGGTATAACACCCACGGGCCACGGCTCATTTTACACCTGCCAACTAGTGGTCATAGAAAACTTTGCAGCATTCCACTGGATGCATTACTGCATAATCTGTTTTAAACAAGGGGGGGGGGGGGGGGGGGGGGGTGACACGTTTGGCATCATTATTCATATAGCCTGAAAGCTGTCTGACCTCATTGGAACTTTTTAAACCGTTCGCCAAACCAGATCATCCCGCCCCAAACTCACGCCATTGGTTGAGCGCTAGCTTAAATACTCTCTCGTCCTGAAGTATGATTTTCCAGTAGTTCATTGTATGATCGCAGGTGGAGAGGATGAATGCTCGAGTGTACTGCACTGTGTTGTTGTGTCTGGCTGGATGCTGGAGCTCAACGGAAGCTGCTCTAGGACGAAACTTCACAGGTGAGATCCATGTTCTTTAACTTCATTACGCAGCCTGAAGAAATCCATAAACCAGTGTAGTACAGGTGTCCAGATTAACTTTGTAAATATATACATTTTCATATTATCCGAGTCAGTCAGTAGAGAACTTTTATATTGAAAGGTCTGACGATAGTTTCACACATTATCTGTTTGCAGTGCGTATGCGGTGCCTTTTTTTCGTACACATGGAGCTTCGAGTCAAAGCTTTGATTTGAACAGGTTTTACACTGCCCGCGGATGTGGTCCGGCGATGCTTTCCAGCAGCGGTGCGAATACAACAGTGCAGCGATCGTTTCCGCACCGAGTCTGTTTGCTGTGCTGCACGCGCTGAATTAAAGTAACACGACATGAAAATGTATCTCGCCAACTACACAATAGGCTACTCGCCAATTATACTGCTATTTTTCACAATTATCTTTTTTTTTTAAGCCCGGAGTAAAGCAAAGAAAAGCAAAACTCTTACCATGAGTTGGATTTGATTTGTTTAATTATGCCATTGCCAGTCAGAAATTATTGGTCACATTTCCACTTTCTGACCAGTGCGAGCAAGGGCTATTTTTTTTAAACAGGCCAGCCTTGGCTAATGTAGCCTCTGACTGCTAAGCTTCGATGCCATGCATAATCAAATGGCGTAAACTGATATTTATCATTATTTCACATAGAAAAACATTGTGATCACATGGCTATGGCCACTTAAAAGAGCTTCATTTAAAGGTGTGTTTTTTTTGTCCAAAAGAGTGCACATTTAGAAAGGTCTTGATACATTCTCATGTTCATGCCTAATTTGAGGCATTTCATGCTGAAAATGTATGTTTTCTTTGCCTAATCTATTAATTATTGTTGTCTCCATCTGCTTTTCTGCTTGTTTTATTGTTATAACTAGCAGATTGTCTCTTGTCTGTCAACTGTTTGTATTTTGTGAAGGGTTCTTGAAAGGCGCTATAAAAAATGAGCATATTATTTTATTATTATTATTATTATTATTATTATTGAGGGAGGAAGAAAAGGTTCCCCTAACATTGTCGGGGAAGCAGACACACTTTCCGGAAGTGTGGTGTAGAAAAACGCATCTCTTTGACCTAGCATACACATAGCACATTATAAACTTCTATAATTCAATGTTAGGCTGCATAGATTAGGTCAGCCGTAACCGGGAACACTTCCCGTAAATCCTGGTGTACTCGTTAGAGGAGAGCGGTCTACTTAGGGTTTAGAGTATTTATTACACACATTATTTTCCCTCATGTCTAGTACAATTGTGTGGTTTTGTTTTATTAATACGGTGTATACTTTTGTCTTGATTTACCCCGAAAGAATGGAAGTGAAATGTGACAACATGCCCCATAGGTGGGGTACATTGTAACATGTGAGGGACACATTGTAACATCACCATATGACAGCTTAAAATGCTATCTGATCTAATAAAAAAAATATACAAGTCAAACCAAAATATAATTATTAACTTTTTTCATATAAAATAATGGCTATTTTTTAATAATTAAAAACAACAAACACACCGGAAAACACGGCTATACAGCATAGTTCAAAACAAAATAATGACTCTCAGTCTTTATTTACATGTTTCTCATGTTTTCTCAATAGAATTCATAAGAGTATAGAATATAATAGCATATTTCTTATAGGGGCACATTGTAACGCAGTGTTACAACATGCCCCAACTGCACAACTGGGGTTTAAACCCTGCTAGTGTCTTCTACTAGTTAGTGAAGCATTAAAGAACTATATCAACTGTTAAACAACAGATTGGAGATTAAAATATCAGAGTTGTCTAATTTTAAATAAACACAAATAATATACATTAACTTAAGTAAGAAATGTACTTTTGTTATGGTTAAAAATGTTCAGTGGTATCTTACAAAGATTTCTGAATTTTGGCGCAACATTTTTTTTTTCTCTATATAGTGAGATGGTCCTCACTGCAGAACATGAAATCCAGGGGGAGGAGGTGGATCCAGATCCAACTCCTCCCACCTTACAAATACCTAAACCTACCCATCTCCACCCCCTGATCCCTAACCTGCCCATCTCCACCCCCTGATCCCTAATCCTACCCATCTCCACCCCCTGATCCCTAACCCACCCCTAATCCTACCCATCTCCACCCCCTGATCCCTAACCCCACCCCTAATCCTACCCATCTCCACCCCTTAGATCTGGGTCCAACTCCGCCCCCTGGATCTCGTGTACTGCAATGAGGTGCTACTGGGCATGTGTGGAAGTATTTAAAACAAGGGTGTTACAACTAGCCCCGCGTTACGTTGTGCCCCGTGCTCCCCTACATCATAAGAAGAATGGCGTCTACGCTAATATTAGTCTGTTTATACCGAGGTTTACCGCAGTCCGCCGGATACAGGCTGTATCCAGATCTGATGAAGGACCTGCGCCTGGACACAACGATAACGCAGTCCTGAAGTGTCAACTAGTCTCTCCCCTGTGAAGGCCACCCTCCCTCTACCTCCGTACAGATAAAACGTTGTCAAAATAGTTCCGGTTCACATGGCTACTCGAAAGCGATAAATAATTCTGAGAATGAGCGGGCCGGAGCACGTTAAGGGTTTTCTGTTAGAACGGTTTTATGTAAGCGGCCCCTAAGTTAATAACTAATGATCTTTGCTATGGAAGTGAATCGATCAAAACTAACTTTAGCTGGACAATATCTTTATTCTAGAGCTGCTGTAAAGCCAAAACATCTGTTACTTTAATTTCCTATTATCACTGTAAAGCTGCTTTGAAACAGTCCATATTGTTAAGCACTATATAAATGAAGTTGACTTGACAGTGACGTCGCTGTCTATAAATTCCTTTAGAAAACAGCGTGTGGCGCACTTGAGCGTATTTTCAGACGTAAATCTAATTTGGAGTAGCTTCTTATGGGAGCGGCAGTGCAATACTTTGATAAAAAAAATAGATGTTACGTTGTATATTATGTTTCTAGTATTTTAGTTTTAATGAAAAACTGGGGGGACCCCAAGGTTATTTTTTGGGGGGGCCTCATGGGGGGGGGGGGTGGTCCCTTGATGCTTATGGGAGGTCTGGGACCCCCCCAGCCCCCCTCAATTCGAACACTGGTTTTAGATCAGAAATTGCTAGGCAGGTCTTGACTGCATTACGTACATGTCCATATCACTTCGCCAAATTATTTAAGTTATTTCAAAGGTCCTTATAGACTACAACAGCAAAAGAACCAAAAACCCCGGTAAAAAGACATTCAGCATTCAGTGATATGGCTTCTCTGTCATAACAGCAAACCCAGGAGTGTGTCCAAGCACAAGATATGAAGCAGAAGTGTGTACCTGGATACGTTTCGTTTCGTGTGTCAATGACAGTGACTGTGCCAACAATCAGAAATGCTGCAGCAATGGATGTGGACTTCAGTGTATGGCTCCAGTTACAGGTATTTTATTATATTATGTGCGGTCAATCGATAAAATAATTAATTGCACATTTTCTGTAATTAAGCGCAATTAATCGCACCTGACATTCAAGTACTTTTATATATTGTGATTTCACATTTAATCTCAAAATTAATGTAGAAACAACATAAAGACAGTGGCTGATATTTCAAATGTTTGTTTAATGGGATCTTTTTATGAAAGAAGGCATCACTGATACCAATACTGCTCCTGATGTCTCTATGAAATAGATTTTTTTCCTAATTCTAGTCATTAATTCTAGGCATTCAGCATTACAGTATAATTGAAAGCTATCAATTTTAACATTTATTAGGCTTTAAAAAATATAACTTATATTTTAAGTGAACTTAAAACAATCTTCACAAAAACTCATTATAATAAATGTCACATTTACCTGTGCTCTTCAATATATCAGGGCTCATTTTTTCTCTCTGTGATGTGTCTGTATAACAGTGAAGCCAGGAGTGTGTCCAAAGACAAACGGTGAAGAAATAAGGTGTATCAAGAAGGGTGAAGAGTTGTGTGCCGATGACAGTGAGTGTCCGAAAAAAGAGAAATGCTGCAGAACTGCATGCGGTGGAACTCAGTGTACGGCTCCAGTTACAGGTATTATATTATATTATATTATATTATATTATATCATATATCATATCATATCATATCATATTATATACTACGGGCAAGGGCTCCATTAAGAGTTTAAAGGGGGGTATGCAAGAAATAATTTTGGGCCCCTTCTTCCAGTTGAATGCGTTTTCAGGGAAACACACGGCTAAAGTAGTTCCAGGCAGGTCTTGACCACATTACATGTCCATAACACTTCGCCAAATGATTTCAGTTATTTCAAAGGTCCTTACAGACTACAACAGCAAAAGAACCAAAACCCCAGTGAAAAAATAATTCAGCATTCAGTGATATGGCTTCTCTGTCATGTGTCTGTATAACAGCAAACCCAGGAGTGTGTCCAAGCAGAAAATATAAACCAGCAATGTGTGCCCTGATACGTTTTGTGTCGTGTGCCGATGACAGTGACTGTGCCAACAATGAGAAATGCTGCAGCAATGGATGTGGACTTCAGTGTATGGCTCCAGTTACAGGTATTATTTTATTATATTATGTGCTGTCAATCGATAAATATTAACTAATCGCACCTGACATTCAAGTACTATATATTGTAATTTCACATTTAATATCAAAATTAATGTAGAAACAACATAAAGACAATAGCTGATATTTCAAATGTTTGTTTAATGGCATCTTTTTATGAAAGAAGGCATCACTGATACCAATACTGCTCCTGATGTCTCTATGAAATAGATTTTTTTCCTAATTCTAGTAAATAATTATAGGCATTCAGCATTACAGTATAATTGAAAGCAATCAATTTTAAAATTTATTAGGCTTTAAAAAATATAACAACTTATAATTTAAGTGAACTTAAAACAATCTTCACAAAAACCTATTATAATAAATGTCACATTTACCTGTGCTCTTCAATATATCAAGGCTCTTTTTTTTTTTTTTTTTTTGTCATGTGTCTGTATAACAGTGAAGCCAGGAGTGTGTCCAAAGACAAACGCTGAAGAAGTGATCTGTAAAAAGAAGGATGAAGAGTTGTGTGCCGATGACAGTGAGTGTCCGAAAAATCAGAAATGCTGCAGAACTGCATGCGGTGGAACTCAGTGTACGGCTCCAGTTACAGGTATTATATTATATTATATTATATTATATTATATTATATTATATTATATTATATTATATTATATTATATTATATTATATACTACGGGCAGGGGCCCCATTAAGAGTTTTAAGGGGGGTATGCAAGAAATAATTGTGGGTCCCTTCCAGTTGAATGCGTTTTCAGGGAAACACACGGCTAAAGTAGTTCCAGGCAGGTCTTGACCACATTAAGTACATGTCCATATCAATTCGCCAAATGATTTCAGTTATTTCAAAGGTTCTTACAACCTACAACAGCAAAAGAACCAAAACCCCAGTGAAAAAATCATTCAGCATTCAGTGATATGGCTTCTCTGTCATGTGTCTGTATAACAGTAAAGCCAGGAGTGTGTCCAAGCAGAACATATGAACCAGGAAAGTGTGCCCGGATACGTTTCGTGTCGTGTGCCGATGACAGTGACTGTGCCAACAATGAGAAATGCTGCAGCAATGGATGTGGACTTCAGTGTATGGCTCCAGTTACAGGTATTATTTTATTATATTATGTGCGGTCAATCGATAAATATTAACTAATCGCACCTGACATTCAAGTACTTCTATATATTGTAATTTCACATTTAATCTCAAAATTAATGTAGAAACAACACGAGGACAATAGCTGATATTTCAAATGTTTGTTTGATGGCATCTTTTTATGAAAGAAAGCATCACTGATACCAATACTGCCCCTGATGTCTCTTATGAAATAGATTTGTTTTTTCTTAATTTTAGCCATTAATTATAGCCATTAAACATTACAGTATAATTGAAAGCTATCAATTTCAACATTTATCAGGCTTTAAGAAAATTATTTAAGTGAACTTAAAGGAACACGCTGACTTTTTGGGACTTTAGCTTTTTCACTGTATCCCCCAGAGTTAGATAAGTCCATACATACCCTTCTCATCTCCGTGCGTGCTGTAACTCTGTCTGACGCACCCACCGCTAGCCTAGCCTAGCTTAGCACAAAGACTGGATGTAAATGGCTAGCATACTAATCCCAATAAGTGACAAAATAATGCAAACATTTTCCTATTTACATGTTGTGATTTGTATAGTCACAGGAGTGTACAAATAACAAGGTCATATGAGACACAGCCATCTTTTAACCATATAAATATTGGGAACTATATTCTCAGAAGGCGAAGCACTGCTACTTGGGCGGAGTGATTACCGCAGCACCTGAGACGCACCGTGATGAGGAGCAGAGAGTTCGTTCAAAGTTGAAGTAATAGAGTCAGCAATTACTAGATAGTTAAAGCATAGTTTACAATCATGGGTGTTCACTGTATTGTAAAGAGCTGCGACAATAAACAGGGGAGAGCAGGTAATACCATGATGTTTCATAGAATTCCAACCAAAAACGCATCCTGATTAATAAATATCACAGAACACGAATAAAGAATTATTATTACAGGAATCGATATATTTTAAATGCAATTACAGCTGAACCAAATGTATTCAACAACATATAATACAGTAATGTTAGATAATTGCATTACAATAGGCTAGAATAAGGGGAAAGTAATAGCACAAGGCATATTGTTTTTGCACAATGAACCCACAGACAGTAGCCTACCCTTACTGGACAAGGTCACTGTTTCTCAAAAAAAAAAAAACTGCCCCTCCCCCCTCCGATTCATTAGCAAGGTGAAGGCTACAGTCCTGAGTTTACCTCTAGCTCCGCTCATTTGTTACTAGGGCGATAGAGCGCGTTCGTGACAAAACAATACTAACATTATAGGGGATACATGGAGACCGGGAACAACTGCAATAGTAGTGACCACCCTATTCATATAATAGTGTCACTAAAGTTACATTAGATCTGGTTAATGGCACTGTTACAGTAGGCTAGTCATCTAAAAACATAACGGAACACTTACCGCAGCCGCAGGTGATCCACTTTGTCCTGTCTCTGCTATCGATGGGATGGCCGTATCCTTCAGCACACGTTTCATGGTCCGTGTGGCAAATTCCATTTTTACAAAATAGTCGTCCTCAGTGAAATGTACTGAGCAAACACGATGGTCCTTGATGATCTCTTCAGGTGTGTTTGGATCTAACGTTATATCCAGAGCAAGTAACTTAGCCATTGATTCATCAGATCAGCGTTTTTGGTTGGAATTCTATGAAACATCATGGTATTACCTGCTCTCCCCTGTTTATTGTCGCAGCTCTTTACAATACAGCGAACACCCATGATTGTAAACTATGCTTTTACTATCTAGTAATTGGTGACTCTATTACTTCAACTTTGAACGAACTCTCTGCTCCTCATCACGGTGCGTCTCAGGTGCTGCGGTAATCACTCCGCCCAAGTAGCAGTGCTTCGCCTTCTGAGAATATAGTTCCCAATATTTATACGGTTAAAAGATGGCTGTGTCTCATATGACCTTGTTATTTGTACACTCTGTGACTATACAAATCACAACATGTAAATAGGAAAATGTTTGCGTTATTTTGTCACTTATTGGGATTAGTATGCTAGCCATTTACATCCAGTCTTTGTGCTAAGCTAGGCTAGCGGTGTGTGCATCAGACAGTTACAGCACGCACGGAGATGAAAAAGGTATTTATGGACTTATCTAACTCTAGCTTATTCACCGTATCCCCCAAAGTCCCAAAAAGTCAGCGTGTTCCTTTAAACAATCTTCACATAAACCCATGATAATAAATGACATAACTTTTATTGCCAAAAGTATTGGGACACCCCTCCAAATCATTGAATTCCGGTGTTCTAATCACTCCCATGGCCACAGTTGTATAAAATCAAATGGACTGCATTTATATAGCGCTTTCACAGACCCAATGGCCACCAAAGCGCTTTACATATTGCCTCACATTCACCCATTCACTCACTCATTCATACACCGACGGCGGTGTCAGCCATGCAAGGCGCCATCCAGCTCGTCGGGAGCAGCTGGGGTTAGATGTCTTGCTCATGGACACCTCGACACTTGGTCAGGTGGAACCGGGGATTGAACCACCAACCTTCCGGTTTGTAGACAACCTACATGAGCCCGAGTCAAGCCCGAGTCAAGCCCGAGTCAAGCCCCAAGGCATGCAGACTGCTTCTACAAACATTTGTGAAAGAATGGGTCGCTCTCAGGAGCTCAGTGAATTCAAGTGTGGTACCGTGATAGGTTGCCACCTGTGCAATTAGTCCATTGTGGAATATTTAGTAGTGAGGAAATTTCACAAGTCAACTGTTAGTGGTATTATAACAAAGTGGAAGCAATTGGGAACAACAGGAACTCAGCCACGAAGTGGTTGGCAGTGTAAAATCACAGAGCGGGGTCAGCTGCGCACTGTGAGCCTCAGCATGCGAAGTTGCCAACTTTCTGCTGAGTCAATAGCTACAGACCTCCAATCTTCCTGTGGCCTTCAGATTAGCTCAAGAACAGTGCGTAGAGAGCTTCATGGAATGGGCCCTTCCTGTTCCAACATGACTGCGCACAAGTGCACAAAGCAAGGTCCATAAAGACCTGGATGAGCGAATTTAGTGTGGAGGAACTTAACTGGCCTGCACAGAGTCCTGACCTCTACCCGATAAAACACCTTTGGGATGAATTAGAGCGTAGACTGCGAGCCAGGCCTTCTCGTCCAACATCAGTGCCTGACATCACAAATGCGCTTCTAGAAGAATGGTCAAAATCCCATTAACACACTCCTAAACCTTGTGGGAAGCCTTCCCAGAAGAGTTGAAGCTGTTATAGCTGCAAAGGGTGGGCCAACTCCATATTTAGCCCTACGAATTAAGAATGGGATGTCAGTTTATGTGCATTAAAAGGCAGACGTCCCAAAACTTTTGGCAATATGGTGTATTTACCCGTGGCCTTCCTACCTGTCTAACAGGTCGAAAGATTTACTGAAATTTAATAAAGTTATCTGTTCAATATATCAGGGCTAAAAAAAAAGTCTCTGTCATGTGTCTTTATAACAGCAAAGCCAGGAGTGTGTCCAATCACAAACGATGGAACAATAATGTGTTTAATGAAGGGTGAAGAGTTGTGTGCCGGTGACAGTGAGTGTCCCAACAATCAGAAATGCTGCAGCACTATGTGTAATGGACTTGACTGTATGGATCCAGTTACAGGTATTCTATTGTATTATATAATATTATATATATACTATGGGCAGGGGTGCCATTAAGAGTTTTAAGGGGGGTATACAAGAGAATTTTTGGCCCCTTCCCGTTGAATGTGTTTTTTTTTTTTTTTTTTATGTTTAAGAAATGTATATAATTTATTAGTTAACATTTATTTTATTTCAAGTTCACCACGGGGCTGTTGGAAGCTTAAATCTGATTGGTTACACATTACATGTCCATATCACTTCGCCAAATTATTTAAGTTATTTCAATGGCCCTTACAGACTACAACAGCAAAAGAACCAAAAACCCTGGTAAAAAAAGACATTCAGCATTCAGTGATTTGGCTTCTGTCATGTGTCTGTATAACAGCAAAGCCAGGAGTGTGTCCAAGCAGAAAATATGAAGCAGAAGTGTGTACCCGGATACGTTTCGTTTCGTGTGGCGATGACAGTGACTGTGCCAACAATGAGAAATGCTGCAGCAATGGATGTGGACTTCAGTGTATGGCTCCAGTTACAGGTATTATATTATATTATGTGCGGTCAATCGATAAAAAATATATTGTAATTTCACATTTAATCTCAAAATTAATGTAGAAACAAGGACAATAGCTGATATTTCAAATGTTTGTTTAATGGCATCTTTTTATGAAAGAAGGCTTCACTGATACCAATACTGATCCTGATGTCTCTATGAAATAGATTTTTTTCCTAATTCTAGTCATTAATTATAGGCATTCAGCATTACAGTATAATTTAAAGCAATCAATTTTAACATTTATTAGGCTTTAAAAAATATAACAACTTATAATTTAAGTGAACTTAAAACAATCTTCACAAAAACCCATTATAATAAATGTCACATTTACCTGTGCTCTTCAATATATCAGGGCTATTTATTTATTTTTTCTCTGTCATGTGTCTGTTTAACAGTGAAGCCAGGAGTGTGTCCAAAGACAAACGCTGAAGAAGTGATGTGTAAAAAGAAGGATGAAGAGTTGTGTGCCGATGACAGTGAGTGTCCCAAAAAAGAGAAATGCTGCAGAACTGCATGCGGTGGAACTCAGTGTACGGCTCCAGTTACAGGTATTATATTATATATTATATACTACGGGCAGGGGCCCCATTAAGAGTTTTAAGAGGGGTATGCAAGCAATAATTGTGGGCCCCTTCCAGTTGAATGCGTTTTCAGGGAAACACACGGCTAAAGTAGTTCCAGGCAGGTCTTGACCACATTACATGTCCATAACACTTTGCCAAATGATTTCAGTTATTTCAAAGGTCCTTACAACATCAAAAGAACCATAAACCCCAGTGAAAAAATCATTCAGCATTCAGTGATATGGCTTCTCTGTCATGTGTCTGTATAACAGCAAACCCAGGAGTGTGTCCAATCAGGAAATATAAACCAGGAAAGTGTGCCCTGATACGTTTCGTGTCGTGTGTCGATGACAGTGACTGTACCAACAATCAGAAATGCTGCAGCAATGGATGTGGACTTCAGTGTATGGCTCCAGTTACAGGTATTATTATATTATATTCAACATCAGGTCGTGTACAATTAGGCATCGGGCGAAACGGCCTCAGATGGAAGCATAAAAGTTTCAAATTGCCCCTCAATCTGACGTACTGAATAAATTCAGAAGAGTGAATTGTAAGCTGTAGGCTACCTGTACCTGAATTGATTTTATTTTTACCGTTTTATAGTTGCAATTTCCAAATGTTACACTCACGTCCCACTCAGATTTAGTAAATTTCTATAATTCGCTAGTTTTAGTTCCATGTTTAAAAAAGAGCTAAATAACACATTGCAACTAGCTAGCTTGTATAGGAAAAGGAAAAAATGTCCAGGGTGCTCAAGGAGTTCAAAAAAAGTGTATGAAGGTGCTCTTTGGGATCGGGAATTTCAATAGCATGTAGTAGAAGGAAATCCAAGGCACTCTTCTTAGGAATTGATAAAAAGCCTTTATTTGGGGGGGAAAAAAACAACCCACGCGTAGCAGCACAAACAGCCTTCTTCAGGGTATGTTTTTCAATCAAACAATTTCCTCTTTTATAGATGCTAATTAGAAACACCTGAATGACAAATTACATGCACATACAGAGAAGGCCCACTAGGTGGTTACATAGTCAAAATATATCATAGTTTTTTTTTTTTTATGGTAATGAAATTGAAAGAGTAACCACTTGTGTAGGTGATCAGTTACATCTAATTGTTTTGAGATTGATAATTTATTTCATTTTAGATTCAGAAAATGGTGCAAATTTCAGTCGTATTAATTTTCAATACATTTTCGTATTCATGTATTTCTTTAACTTAAATTTAACCGTTTTGAAAAGAGAATGTAAACGTGCAAATTGGCCTGTATAGTACAAAGTTTTAAAGGTCCCGTTCTTCATGTTTTTTTGAAGCTTTGATTGTGTTTACAGTGTGCAATATAACATGTGTTCATGTTTCGCGTGTAAAAAAAACACAGTATTTTTCACACAATTTACTTATCTGTATACCGCTGTTTTCACTGTCCAAAAAACGGCCCGATGACTTCCTTGTTCTATGAAGTCCCTCCTTCAGAGATACGTAACGAGTTCTGATTGTGCCAGCGGTTCCTGTGTTGTGATTCGACAGCAGCTTATCGCACGTTGCCCGGAAAGGTCACGCCTCTTACCATAAATTGGAGATGCATGCGCTGCTGAAGTGCTTCTTCTCCGTGGGAGCGCAACAAGACCACGCCCCCTTTTTTGTGTATTCAATCCCCGGTTCCACCTGACCAAGTGTCGAGGTGTCCATGAGCAAGACACCTAACCCCGGCTGCTCCCTGGATGGCGCCTTGTATGGCAGACACCGCCGTCGGTGTGTGAGTGAGTGAATGGGTGAATGTGAGGCAAATGTAAAGCGCTTTGGTGGCCATTGGGTCTGTGAAAGCGCTATATAAATGCAGTCCATTTACCATTTACCATTTTATAATTTTACAGGTATTATTTATGCTCTAACAGCAACATTACACACTAACTAAAGTTTGAAAAATGGAATTGCGAAGAACGGGACCTTTGTTTGTCTATGTGAAAAAACAATTCATACAAACTGAAAGATGTCGTCATTTAATAATAATTAAAAAAGCAAAGATAACTGATCACAGTTTAGTTCACACAGACTGATGTTATGATTACTGTGTGAAGAGTTTTGAAAAAGTGACCTAAGTATTTAGAAATGTGTCCTAGTGATTGTAACAAAACAAACAAACTAATTTGTAAAATAAACAAACAGGATGTGCTTTCAGCCGTCTCAGTTTCCTTTAGGTTAGTTTTTGTGACGACTCAAGTTAAACTCACCGTAGCCTACACAGCTGCGTTTTTTTTTTTTTTGTGTGTGTTAATTATTTAAGTGAAACACATTTCATGTAAACCGTTGTAATGATATTAGCATAGATTTATCTGTCAGGAAAAATAACCAAAATGCACATCCCTAATAATAATAATAATAACTTAAATGATAAATTGCTGCTTAGAATTCCAAACCCCTTCAGTAGTCCGACTCTGCCACAAGGAAAAGTGGGTACGTCTTTTTAAAATAAATTTTATAAATATGAATGTTGGCATGGATTTTAGCGTACGCAAACTCTGATCAAATCTGTTCGAGCGCAAAAGATAACTCGATTCTGGCATACGTCTTTCTGTGCGCACGAGTAGAGTAATTGTTTTTAATTTAACACGATAAAGTTTAATGCATTTATCGCATGCGTTAACACACACACACACACACACAATAAAATAAGTGACATGACTTGTGTGACGCTGAATTACAGAGCTGGTACAAACATATTCACATCACTATGACCAGATGCTTTCTTAACTGTTGTCTTTTTTGTGTGTGTGTGCAGACTGTGCACATTTATCTAGAAACGCCACTCTCAGCACGACGTCGGGATGTTCACTTACAGTCAGTCTAGATCGCTGCAAAGATGTTTCCAACTTTGTTTTACCCATATGAAGAAAAAAGAACTTCGCAGTGAATGTACTGAGTCCGTTTCGCCCGATGCCTAATTGTACAAGACTTGACACCTGAAGTTGTTTTTCCTGGGACCTGAAGCCTTTCAGTCTTAGACTAAATGGCTTCAGCTATTAGACGAAACGGCATCATACCTGAGGCATGATGCCTTTTTGTCATATGACTAAGGTCTGAGGATGTCCTAAAACGTATACTGTACTCGTGCCGTAGGTAAACATAGCGTTCTGATATACAACCATATCGCATGGCTACGAAATCTTTGCGCTGATTGGTGGAACATTCGGTTATCATTAAAAATCCACGCCGATGGTTGTTCCGGGTTTCGTCCGTTGCTGGAGCTATATGGGGAGTCTAGAGCAGCTAAGAATGGTCCGCTGTCATTATACAGTACGAGAGCGGCCTCTAGAGGTGAAATGCAAACTATCACTGATGCCTCGTGCTGTTTATTTTGACACTGAGGCTGTGTGCTGCAAAGAGAGCACATGCTGGGCTGAGAGCACTGACAGATGCGAAACTGTATGAATACAGAACATTACAATGATGTCATATCATTATAAAGTAATTAATTTGCTGACTAGATGCTGCATTAGCAGATAAAGAACCGCAGTAGCCTATGATTGCTGTCGAGGCTGAGAGGCACATTTTCATGGTTCAGTACCTTTTTTTTTTTTTTTTTATAAAGTTCAGCACTCTTTTACTTGGAGTGTTATGTTTGTTTTTGTCGGTTGATTAATTGGTTAATCAACCGGTTAACCAAAAATAAAAACAGTAAAAAATTCTTTCAGTATTCAGTGATATGACTTCTCTGTCATGTGTCTGTATAGCAACAAAGCCAGGAGTGTGTCCAATCAGATATTACAAAAAAACAAAGTGTGACGAGTTGTGTGCCAATGACTGGGACTGTCCCAACAATGAGAAATGCTGAAATCTCTGACCCATCGTCTTCCTTGTCTAATTTCTGTCGCTCTACATGCGTCATCTGGTATAATTGAAATGAT